TGTTAGTTTTCTGTTAGCTGTAAGGTAGAATTATTACATCACTAAAGTAAACCATTTGTTCCAGTAAATGCGCACTTTTATTTGCGTGTTTCTATATTCTAAATGGATAAAAAATATGTATTTTTCTTAACTGAATCTTTTATTTGGTGTTCTTCTTTCTGTATCATTTCCATCTAACTAGTTCTCTCCTTCCTGTCCACAGAGCCCTCAGATGGGAACCTTCATGGGCGTCTACCTCCCTTGCCTTCAGAACATTCTGGGGGTCATCCTGTTCCTGCGCCTTACCTGGATTGTCGGCACGGCCGGCATCCTGGAGTCTCTGGGGATCGTGGGCCTGTGCTGCGCATGCGTAGGTTTTTTTAATCCCAGCCAGCGACCGGCTCTTCTTATTTATATTCATGTGACGATCAGGGAAGAAATCTCTGAGAAAAATGACTCATCAGTTCATTCAGACACAAACAGGACTTGTTATTTCTCCTATTTTTACCACCTTAACGTCTGATCTGTCCACCCTGGACGTGTCAGAAACAAACACCCACTCAGGGCCTATATTTGGCTCTCTCACTGCAGACGGTGGATTATTCCAGATTAATCATGGAAAGTACAAACCTGAAACAATAACTCTAATCTCAGTGACATCATTTTGGCTGGTAATGAAATTTCTCTCCTGGTATTCCTGAGAGTGGCCTTGATTAAACACCATTCCTAATCAAGAAGCAATAATTGATTATTTCTGAACAGACTGATCATTTCCAGGACTTCACCTTAGTGCTGCAGTTTTTTCCTGGATGTCTAATGTGGATGGACTCCCGCTCTCTTCCTAAATCCATCTAGATTGCGTTAGCAGGGTTAACCGTACTGTCCATCCCTTGGGTTACGTAACAGAGCTGAGCTTAGTCCAGCAGATTAACGTTCAATTTCACTGCTTGGAGAACATCTGACTTCACACTAATGGCTTCATCAGCGGCCTGCTTAAAGAGGCAGAGGCAGCGTCACTGAAAAACACACCAAGGGCTTCATCACCACATTCAACATCTTCAGATTCTGGTTTTCTTTTACTCCCATGTAGACGCTGTCCTCTTCAATATTAAGGCTGCATTTCTACCATAGATTACCATGTTATTTTAGCCGAATAAACATTGTTTTATGTTAAGCCCATCAGTGGAACGGCTTATCAAAACAAAGACTTGTGTTGCTGCAGGTCTGTGTTTATGTTGCCACAGAAAAACCTCATAGTTGGTTTTACTCCCTATTGTTTCTCTTTATGTTTATTTGTTGCAGTTTTATGTATAGAACACATCTCAAACAAAATGAGGGTGACATAAAGTTCACACATAGAAAGAGAGACAGACGTTACAAAATAAGCTAACCATAGCTAATCATAGTGTGTTGCTATTGAAGTGGAGTTAGCAGAAGGGATTGGTGCTACCATTCGGGCTCTCCCTTTCCCCGAGGGTGTTTACTCGATGCGCACCCTCTCAAGTAACTGCCTCTCAGGATACGTTCCGCCTTCTTCAAGATGTCATGGTTGGGCCTCAAAGTCAATTTGGCAAAGATTTGTCCAGTTCTATCTCAGTCAACCACGCTTCTTGGGATGCATCTGGACTCCACTACCATGAGGGCCTGTCCATCTGTTCACAGGGTGGACGACACATTGCAGCTTGTCAGTCAATTCAGGCTGGGCAGGCAGATAGCTTATAACATCTCCCTGCGAATGCTGGACAAACTGACATCAGTCACTCGTATCATGCCCTTAGGTTTGCTCCTTCTACGTTCTTTGCAGCGGTGCCTCAACAGCTTTCGCCTAGACACCAGGCTGCACCGACATCGCAGCCTCATAGTGATGAGGATGTCCCTTCCTGCCCGAGCTGGAGATCCTTTTGTCCAGTGGTGTTCCAATGGAATTAGTAGTGTGCTGAAGGGAAGTGGTCACCACTGATGCCAGCCCCATGTGCTGGGCCACCGTGTGGCAACACAGAGCGGTTTGGGGTCTTGGGGATCCAAGGGAGTGCACCAAATACATAAACGTGCTGGAGCTGTGGGCTGTTCACATAGCCCTCAGGCGTCTTCTGCCCCACTTAGAGGGAAGGCAAGTGTTGATTCGGAAGGACAACACCTCTGTTGTTTACAATAGAAAACACCAAGGAGGCACCAGGTCGGCACGTCTCCTGAAGGTTTCCAGAGATCTCCTGGAATTGGCTTTTCCCCGTCTTTCCACCCTGTGTGCCTCGTATGTGACAGGAGGGCAGAACCAGGTTGAGGACTCTATCCCGCCATAGACCTGCTCCGGGAGAGTGGTCCCTTTACTGCGAAGTAGTGTGTATGATCTGGAACCTCTTTGGGCAGGCAGAGATGGATCGCCACAGAGGAGTCAACCCATTGCCTATGGTATTCCCTGACCGGGGTGGTGGGCACACTTGGCCAGGACTTGCTGGCTCATCCTTTGCCACAGATTCTCCTATATGCCTTTCAACCCCTCTTGCTGATTTGGCCTACTCTACGGAGGGTTCTCGAGCAAGGCCACAGAGTGTTGCTGGTAGCTCAGTTCAGTGCTCTGCCCGTGATGAGAACCCGCTTTCCTGCTCGGTGCCCACTATTCTTGAGTTCCTTCTGTCTCTTCTTGATAAGGGCCACTTTCCTTCGACCTGCCGTCACCTATCTGTCGACGACTGTACAGTAGGGTGCCATGAACTGGTTTCTGTTTTTCTGCACTGTGCTCGTAGGTTCCGCCCACAGGCAACTCCACAAGTGCCTGATTGGGATCTGCCATTGGTTCTCGCGGCTATGTGCCACCCGCCATTTGAGCTTTTGGATCAAGCGGATCTCAAGTGGCTTTCCTTCGACCCTTAAGGTGTATGCTGCAGCAATCTCATGACGTCACCTATCTGTCGATGACCGTAGAGTGGAGCGCCATGAACTGGTTTCTTTTTTTCTGCACAGTACTTGTAGGTTGCACCCACAGGCAACTCCACGAGTGCCTGATTGGGATCTGCTGTTGGTTTTCGCGGCTCTGTGCCACCCGCCATTTGAGCCTTTGGCTCAAGCGGATCTCAAGTGGCTTTCCTCCAAGACTGCTTTCCTGATGGCTGTCGTCTCAGCTAAGAGCTACATGGTCTCTCTGTCAGCCCTACCAGTAGCAGGTGGGCTCCAGATGGCTCCGCTGTTGCCCTGTTGCCTAATACTACATTTGTGCCTGAGGTGTTTTCTCCATTTCACCATAACCAGCTATTGTGGCTTGCTTGGTTTTAGCCTCAGTCAGATGCAACTGAATGGATCTGTGTTATTGTGCCCAGTAAGAGCGTTGGAGGCATACATTGTAACCACTGTCAATCTAAGACTTTTGGACTCAGTTTTTCCTATGTTATGGGGGTCCACGGTTAGGTTGTTGTCTTTCCAAGCAGCATCTTTCCCATTGGATTGTGTCATCTGCCACGCCTACGCTGCAGGTCACTGCTCCCTGTCAGTTAGTGTGAGGACACATTCCACCAGGTGCATCTCTGCTTCCTGGGCGGCTTTGAGAGGGGTCCCACTGGAAAGGGTTATGTGCTGCTGCTAAATGGGATTCCCCGACCACCTTCACGAGGTTCTACAATGTCAATGTGGCTGCCCCTCATCCACAGGGTCAGGTCTTTTTACAAGGTTCTGCTGGGCCTCCTCAGTGAGGTACATGTTCAGGATTCCTTGTGACATCGCTGACATTAGTCATTCTGTGCTTTCGGCACCGCCCTGTGGCGGTAAGTAGGGATGAAATAGAATGAAACTTAGGTATGTAACTATGGTTCTATGAATTCCGGATCACCGCCAGAGTTTCTCTGTCTTTCAGAATCCTTGCTTTTGCAAGAAAATTCTTCAGGAACAGAGCAAAGGATGACACCAGGCTATGTATCTTCTGAGTGGTCATCCGGCGTCACAGGTGTGACTCTGTTGGTATAATTACTCGAACTGTGCATGCCTGAAGGGAACATTCAGTGCTTTCAACACTCCCCTCTAACAGTCATTTAGGATTCATAGAACCATAGTTACATACGTAACTTTCGTTTTTAGCACGACCACAGAATAAAGAAATAGAAATGTGATATCCTACCAAATATCCATCCAAGCATTTCTTTACCACTATAATCTCATATTCATTGGGTTTTCCACAATTTGTTGCTCAACAAATGATCCCTCAATAAATAAAAGTTATTCCCTCATATACTCAGTCAGTTTTTAAGTCAGCTTTTTCTTGTTTTTTTACCCTTTTTTATTTGTAAAAGGAGCTAAACAAATAGCTGAATACCTTAATTAACTTGGAAAAATAAAACCGGTAAATTCATTTGGTGTTCTAAAACTTGAGCTTTTAAATCGATTTTAAAAGCCAAACATCCAAGTAACAAACAAATGTGTATGAGGTGTGAAGTCGCCTTGTCTCTGCCGCTCTGATCAAACCCAAGCTGCTGAATAGCTGCTTAGGATTTCACTGGAAACTGTGAGCTGATTGGTCTTAGTCCAGCTTGTCTGTCACTTTAAACCAGACATCAAGCACAAGGACGTGAAGTTTCTTCGTCTCGCCTCGTCTCTTCTCCTTCCTGTTTTCTTTCACTCAAGTTTACACCTTTATGTGATTTTTTCTTTTCATCCCGTTGTCTTAATTTCCTCTTCTCCTCTGCACTGACCTTCCTCTCATCCGGAACGTTCCATTATGTAATCAGCTGATGTAGATCCTCAACCACAATTACTGATTTCAACGGAAAGCTCGTATCCATAACAAATCCATAAGATTAAATGCCACCAGCAGTCCCATTGGTTAAAACTAAAGCAGGAAAATTCACTGAAACAAATAGAAAAATAGGCCATGAAGGTCTTTCTTTTTTTAAACACTGGTGATCTGATAACCCAGGTTAGCTTTAGTTTGATCATAAATGTTTTAAACTTTTCTTTGATTTCTTTTAGACGATGCTGACAGCGATATCCATGAGTGCAATTGCTACTAATGGCGTTGTACCAGGTAAGATGTTTGTTTTACTGCATCATATGCTGCTGTTATTATGAAGCTTGATGGAGGAGTCCTGCTTTAAAATGGTTTCCCATTTTAAACTCGAGTTATATGAGATGACGAGACGTCTGTTAAATGCACAGATCAGAGATTCACCAACTAAGCCAAGTTTGGCTCCGTCCAGTTAAATATTTTTAGACCTCCAGCTGTGAGCAGTCAGTGGGAGAATCCATGTGAGAAAGTATGGCGGTACTGTTGGAAATAAGGACAAAAATAAAGTCTTTAGCCTTCAGATTTAGCACTGTTAGCATTACTAAGACAGCACTTCATCCCTAGATAATGTTAATCCTTTAGGGTAGAAATTCCCAGAAGAGTCTACGTTGGGCTAAAACTAACGATTATTTTGCAAATTGATTAATAATTTTTATATTAAGAATTGAATAGCCATATTGCCTAAAGAAGACTTTTTACTGAATCAAACCAGGTGAAATTCAAACTTTTCCACTTGAGGAGTTCTGGATAGAGCATATTTTTTTACTGGGCACTTTTTTTTAATATTGAATGCAAAATATTTACCGTAATTTTCGGACTATAAGCCGCACCTGAATTTAACCCGCAGAAGCTAAATTGCGTGATTTGTACATATGCAAGCCGCACCGGACTATAAGTTTTTTATGTTTAATTACCATACGGTTCGTGCACAGAGAGGATTGTAGGGAAAGAGGCAACTGTTTGTAGCCTCGTGAGACCATCCTGATCTC